TAAAAACTGACTTGCAGTTAGATTGCTTTCTTGGCTTAAAAATACGTATAAAGTATTCCTAATTACTCTACTGGAACATATTTTGTTGCCTGGAGGAAGGTAAGAGTTTTCAAAACTGTACACCTTTGAATTTCAGAACATACATAAAGGCCAGAAGCTTCTACAAAGCTATTGTCCTTCTGGCAGAGTGACTCCAAATGCCCGATATGAAATTCCCAGGGTCCTGGAAAGCCTGAAAATGTAGGGAATAGACACCTCTCCAGCTTTACTGCTAGACTGCCTTTCAATCCTCAAAGCGTTTGCTCCATCTGCAGAGGCTTTCTGGAGGACCAAGTAAAGCCAAGGCCAACAGTTCCCCTAGCCATTGTTGCATTTCACATGAAAAATGGAAAAACCAACCAAGTCCTTAACCAAACAAACTGTACCAGACTAGCAAGAGTTGCTCACTTTGCAAAGCAGACAGTGTAATTCTTAAAAACAAAGAGAACTGACTAACATTTTGAAACTGAAGGATTCACTTATTATCAAAAGAATGGCGCTTGGTGGGTGAAGCACACCTTTGCGAGGTAAGTAATGTGATCTACACTTCCCAAACTGTACACTGAGACAAAGAAAATATGTCAGTAAGTCAGTGCAATGAATAAAAACAGAGCTGGCGGTGTATTAAATACCAATCTGATGACAAATGACAAAAACCAGAATTCCTTAAATCAGACTTATTTCAAACTGATCTCACTGGAGGCCTTGCTTGCTATTCCTAAACCTCCTTTTGGCATAGGAGTGCACAGAGTAAGGACACACACATGCTCATTATCTGTGCACATTTGCAGACTGTAATTCTAGTAAACATTAGATTAAAAAAAAAAAGGTCCTTGAACTTTGAAATAAAGAATAAAGCTTTGACTTCTATTATAATTAAAATTTTTCAAAACAGCCTTCAGTTCAAGCCCCATATTAACCACTGATGTTCACTGACTGACACAAGGATTCAAACCAATACCATAAATGGGAAAAAAACAGTTCTGTAAGGAACACGTTTGGCAGGATTGAGCAGTCCACATACAAGCTGCCATGACTTTCAGTGGGTTACTCCATTATTCATGTCCACTGCAGAAACTGTGCTTGCCAGCTTAAAACCTATGGATGTCTACATTTGTCTGAAAATATCTGTACCAAAACAAACCAAGCCAGATGTTCAGACTGCAATGAGACAACAACAACATGAGGATGAGCATATGGCATTTCAATTCTTACATCTTAGCAGAAATCCACTATCTTTATTAACTAGTTTTGTTTCAATATGCACAATTCATAAAGCCAGCACAACCTTTAAACATTACTACCTTCACACCACTGCATGGCTATGTCAGCCTTTCTGCTAGAAAACTTACCTGCCAGAGATTATGTTATTTGAAAAATTCCTCATACTAAGGAATTTGGCTCAACAAGGAATTCATATTCTACAGTTCAAAACAAATGTACTATGATTTTCTTTTTGCTTTGCATTAAGAGAATGTTATCTGTTCTTTTTTCTTTGGCAAAAGAAAATGAGGTATTATTGCATATACTTGATCCTTCATCTGGATTCCTGCCTTCTGACGTTTAGATAAACATAATTTAATATACCAGAAATATGTAACGTTTTACGAAGAGCTTCTGTTCACATTTGGTAAAACTTCTTTCGCTAACCTATGTGCAGAAGGATTCTTGTATAAGAGGAACCAGTTCAGCTTCCACATGAGCAGCTGTTAATGTAGGCACACATTCAAACATGCAGTTGTCTGAAATAGCAGCGCTCTAGACGTTGAAAGTCAAGAAGGGCCAGCTCAGGTTGCAGGGTTGCATGGCCACCCCTGTGAGATGGTGTAATCACAGGCCAGTGAAATCCTTCTCCTGCTAGGAGGCTATTACTGGTCACTCCTTGCACTTCTTACAGGCATTGGGATTGGCCTTTTAAGCAGTGATTCATGAAGGTACCACACTGCTCTGCCTCCCTTGCTGCTGTCTTGGCTCACTGCATTCATTTCCCTCCTATTTTCTGCAAACCATACATACCACAGAACAAATTCTGTTCCAAACATCTCCTCATTTTTCCTTATCCAGAAGGTAGTTTAAAATCACAAATGGAAAGAACGTGTCACTTGAATCCATGGTTGTGACTTGTTCACACTTTGACTGCAGAAGAAATTCTGATTTGTTGCTTTTTAGTTATAGCAATTTCCAGCAGATTTCCCATTCCCTTGGCAGTAATGAAGAACAATAGTTTTGCCTCATCATAGTGATTAGGAAATATTGGTTGCTTAATGCTTAGTTACAACAATTATTTACAAACTATAAATGCCTACAGCAGAGACACATTTTTCAGGGTTCTGCATACAGACTGCTTCAGCGGCAACATCAGAGCGTTAGTTCTGCTTTGCATAAGAGCACAGACTATACCAGATCACATCAGTCAGAGACTTCTAGTTTTCATCTCAGATTTCTCTGGCAGTGTGACCCTGGGAACACTTCACTTCTTGGCAATAAATAGCAAAGGACTACCAATTAGTTGCATTTGTTTCCTGATGCTGTGTATTTTAAAAGTGTTCCTCCTTTGAAGCATTTGTAAGAGCAGTACAAAAGATGCCAGCTGACATAAAATCCAGCTGAAGTACTTAAATACATATAACAGGTGCATCATACAACCCTGCAAGTGCAGGTACAGAATTATCTCTACTGTCACCAGAAATTAATTTCATAATATTAATAGAGATTCATGATTCAACAGTATTTCAGCACTTAGAAAGTCTACAGAGAGCTGCAGGTTATGAAACTGAGCAATGATGTTTGAATTCTTCTAGAAAGCCCCAACACCAGGGATGTGAAATGTAGTAAACAACTGCCAACAACAATTTCTGTAACATTTTGGATCACTTACATAGGAAATTTTACAAAGTGTATTCCAAGTAACCAATCTATAAGGATTAATGTTGAAATCTAAGAAAAGAACACTGAATGAAGGAAAAGCATTCTGACCAAATTCTCCCTAATTCTCACATCATTTAAGACTTATTTTAATCACCAATTCAAATATGAATTTAACAAAGAGCTGGCTTCAGAAATAGGAACAACTTCAGAAACAACTGGCTTTAGAAACAAGTTAACTTGTGTGTCAGCTGAAGAAGAAATCAGCTCTGTTAAAAGTCAACTTTAGGTAACATATAAATATATGCTAGACTTTTGAAAATTCTGAATATGACAATAGACAATATTACCTTTTTTTTTTTTTTTTTACTTTGCAGGACAGTTTTCACTTGCAATTTATACTTTCTAGTACTACTTTTAAAAGCTGCTATTGAACTTCTAAATAAATTACTTAATTTGCATTTCTCCAACATATTATGACCAAACATATTTTGATCAGAAAAAGAGCTACCTAGCTAACTAACCCATCTACAATACACTGGCGAGTCGATTATTTTTACTTACTTAAGACACTGAAACCAGCCAGAGATTAGTTTACTCATGCTAAAATCAAACTCCAGATAAGCTGCAGACCCAGAAACTGCCTGGATCTTCTGTTTCAATACTTTGAAGTGAAACCATGTTCTTTCTCTCATAGCAGTTTTTCTTGATGATACACCTCACAGTGCCAGATCACGTCCAGTAATGAAATACCTGTTGTATTGTGGCAACCAGAAACAATACCTACCCATGACAGTCACACGACAAATCATCCCCTTCTACAAAGCAAACTACCAATATGAGGGAAAACAGAAGCCCTTGAAGATGAAAAGATATGGTACATGAACACATTACTATGAGGTAAGAGAGGTGTGATCGTGCCATGGATAAATGCAAGCACAGGGACAGCCCAGTGCAGAGTAGCCTCTGTGCATCCATTTTACACTCCAGTTTACCTTGCACTATCTTGTCCACCAAGTTGTTTTACGACACTGGAAAAAAAATCATTTCATCCCTCCATGACTGTTTTCTCTCTCAATTCCTTATTCCATTTTAGCTCATTAGTCTGAAAACAGCTTGAGACAACAATCTGTCTTGGATTTGAAGAGCGCCTAGCAAAATGGAGTCCCTGGGTCAAGGTATCTAGACACCACTGCAATAATAAATAAGAGAAATCTTATTGACCTACAGGCAATCTAAACTGATCTATGTCATTATGCTGAAACAGTGAAACTCCTTATGACAACAGCTTCAAGAGGAAGTAGGCTAAAGTCCTCTTTCTGTTCCTGTAAGGAAGATTGTATTCCTTGAAATCTAGTGTACAGGAGCTAAATTCATTCTTTAGAATCAGCCTTTGAAAAGGAAGTCGTTAAATGTTTATAGATATATTGAAAGGCACAGCTGTCCTTTTTTCAGTAACAGAGGTATATACAGAACAAACTCCTCTTTTAGTCAGACGTTTATCACGTCCTTATTTCAAAGAGTAGCAGTCATTACACAGTGAAGTTCAAACAGTGCTTTGGATTTCTTTGGGTTTAAAAAGTGACATACATTAATTTGGAACACACACAGGATTTTTTAAACCTTTTCAATGCACAGTTCCGAAACTGCTTATGTACACAGCATAAGCAAAGCACAGCAAAGTAGGAAAGGCTACTTAAGGCTCAAGCCTGGTTTTCTTGGTTGTATTTTGTACCCCCTCATAGGTAATCTTAAAACTCAAGGGCCCTCTAGACCATATGTTCAATACCTGAAATCTTAGATAAGAGGGGGAGAGAGAGACACACAGACAGAACTTCAATTCAGTAACAATACTGAAAATAAACCAGGCAAATCTAAAGAAACCATGCTTTAAAACCTCATTTATACCAACAGCATGGTTGCCACTTCTCAGGGAGGGAACCTCCCCACTTCTGAAACGCTCATTATCAATGCACAAGAAAGAAATAAACTCAGTAAAATGGGGTAGCATCATTAGCACTGCACTAATGTAATAATAAACCAAAACATATTTACTACATATATTTATTTGTGGCATTCACCCATACTGAGAATAGTTACAAATTATGCAGATAATACATATTGAAAGACAATGTGATTATTCAAGATACAGAGTATTATTAACAGAAAGGTACTTATTTAGAGAAGTAAATGTAATTTAGGTATACTATAAGTTTATATTTCTCTGTTCATGAACAGATGTACAATAATTGAAATATTCAGGAGTATGCTGGGTTTGGGTTTTTTGGGTTTTGTTTGTTTTTTTTTTAAGAGACTTTCCTTTCTGTGGCATTGCAGCTGCTAGAAAAGTATAGTTTCATTAACCTCTAACTTAAGAAATGAGATCAAGAATTATTCAGATGCAATTAGAATGGGGCCCAGTTCAGCAAAGCCCATGTCACACATCAAAACAAAGACAACAATCCTCTTCACTCAAACCCATAAACAAGAAAGAAAAATACACATGGTAGCGGAACAGAGAGATATAGGTTACTTTTATCAATACTTATTGTAATTTTTAATTTTAGAAATGTTTGATGTTATTTAGCAACAATTTAGGAGTGGCTAAGTAAAAAAAAAAATTGATTCATTAGGTTTGCAGAATTCCTTTTGTTTGGGATTTTCAAGGCAATGGCAACAAAGAGAGTTAGATGTCTAATCAGCATGGGACGAGAGAATCTGCTTTCTTTGAAAACCTCCTACTATGTAGTACCTTTCTAGCCTTCATAAAAGAGTATCTAACTGATTCATGTCCCTAGGTTATTTACAAAGGATTTCACAGCTAAGTACAGAATGGGTCAAGATTTCATTTCATACAATGTTCCTAAATATTAACATTTAAATACTTTCATTCAGCATACTCAGAAAATAATTCATAAGCCTGAGAGTGCTGTCCAAAAACAACTGAAATGGAAAACAATTCTAGAAAGCAATTCTATTCAATCAAGTCCTCTCCACAAACATGAAAACAATACAATTATATGGTTCAGTCTGGCCCTTGTGGGAAGAAGAAAAAAGTTACCTTTCATGACATATTTCACAAAGACAATGACCTTACAGAATTATTATATACAGAGCAGAACACCTAAATCACTTTTTAACCACCCTTACAAAGAAAGGTTTGCTTAGTAACATTTCAACAAAAAGGCAAAATTTTCAGCCTAAGGCTGAAACAACTTTACTTCCAAAGCACAACAAATAGCTTTGTTCTACAAAATTTACTTCAGGCAGGTATTAACAACATTGAATTCATCTGGGGAAGAAACACTACATTAACCTAATAAAGGAGTGATCTATACATTAAAGACATAGTAAAACTTGAACTATTTCTCATTCTTTTTATAAGCTAGCAGATATGAAACTATGGGAATGCATTAAAAGAACTATGAAGTTGTAGCTTATTACTGTCTATACATCAGAACGCATTATTATATTATTCAGATTTCTTGAGGAGGACTTTTAAAAGAACATTTTTCTTTCAACTGAAGCACACACAAAAAAATCCAACAGTAGATTTACCTCTCTTCATAGGGAAAATAAGTCAAATTTGGTTCTGTACTAGGATATATTTTTCACGCCCAGGAATTTAATATTCATTATGAAAGGCCTTTTCTAATCATAACATTTTATCAACAGAGAGGATTATCTTCACATCTTGCTTGCAAGTCAAGATAAGTCAGAGGTAGCTTAGGAATGCTTTAGAATTTAGTGTTTTACTTGAAATGAATTAATCCCTCTTTCAAAGGGGTTAATAATAAGTACAAAAGGCAAACAGTATATACAGCTGCCACTGCCTGCACCAAGAGAATAATTCCAAGAAGCTCAAAATAAGATTAGAACAGGGAAGAGCACGGTGCACTTCTTTGCATTTGCTTCAGTGCACCAGTTCAGGCTGGTTTTCTACGAAAGGAAGCACCCCACTAACATAGTATGCTATTCCAAGAGACAGAAGAGCAATGACAATGATCAGGAGCAGCACCCTCCAGAAGCCCAGGTCTTCCACAAACTCTTGCCATGTCGTGCGGAAACTGGAAAGAACTCCTTCACCTTGCTGTAGGTTTGGATTAAGGAGGGAATGGCTTTCCATCGCACTACGAAGGATTAAAGTTAAAAATACATCAGAGCAAAAGAATGCACCTTTAAGTACAACAGTAATCCTACTAAGAGCAACCGAAACATTCTAAATTAAAAACTAAACCCACCTGCAGATTTATAGCTTTGCCCCCGCTAAATCAAGACAAAGCAGATCAGGAAAAGACTCCTAACTCTAAACTTAAGTTAGTTGAAAGGATGTTTTATTAACCTGTTTAAAGAGAATGATATTTATACCTGTACAACTGCACTGAGTTTGCAGGCTTGCCACCTAGAAGCCATCAAGCCAGTCCACATAATTCCTACTAAATATAGCTCAGTAAAATTTAATGAAGCACAAACTAAAACCTCAAGGGGCACAGCTCTTGTTAATAAAACAACAAATTGTGATTTAAAAATAAACTGGTGAATAAAATGGAAACTTTAACCAATATAGTTTAGATTCTGAACTCTGTAGTGATCTTTACTACTCTCCTGCGTGTCTTTGTTACAGAGGCCTCTTCTCTAGCATAAAAATATCACAGGAACAATAAATTTGGGTAACAAGAAGTTCAGAAACTTTCTGATCTTCAAGACAAGTTGGCACTGCTGTGCTTTCTGCCATATGGCATTCAGCAGCTGCTTTGATGTTTTAACCTTCCACCACCAATCCATCAGGCCCCCTTAAATTGTCAGACTATAAATTAGGGACTGGAACTCTCACTTCTAAACAAGAAACAAATATAAAATTAGAATGATGAAGTCATTTTGACAATTAATCGCCTTTAGAAAAAATGTAAGTTGTTTCAAATGCTGCATGGATTCTTGTATCATTCTCCCAATTTTGCTGGTTTCACAATTGGTTTATAACAGGAAACTTTCTCTGTTGCTGTATGTAAAACCTCATGAAGAATAGGGAAACTTTCTCATCACTTGATTTCACTTATGTAAAATTTTAGCCATTTGCACAGTCCTACTATGTCTCACTTGAATGAGATTACATATAGAGGTGTTTACAGGATCAGGCTCTGACAAGTACAGAAAGGAAATGGTGAAACCAACTACGTACACAATGATGTCAATAGCAGAAGATAAGCAGAGGAAAACCAATTTTTTTTCCTCCCTTCTAATTGCTTTCTGTTACCATATTCCTAGATATCTCTTATAGCAATAATAAAAGAAAACATTTCAGGGAAAAAGTCATTTCCAAGTCAAAACTAATTGTAGAAATGCTATTGTTCTTGGTCACAATAATAAATTGACAAATGATTGTTATCAGGAAAAGATCTCACTTATGAATCTCTCTTCTAAGATTACACCACGGAAAAACTTCACACTATTCATATGGTATTTTTTCTCAGGAAGTACAGCCACTGAAGAATAATTAGCCTAAACTCCCATAGCCTGCTGAAGTATTGCAGCGTCACATGCAGAAGATTTCAGAATTTGTCTATTAAACAGCTTGTCTTTTTTGTTTTTTAAATATTTACCTTGCTGTAAAGCTATTTTGTTTGCCCATAGCTGCAGGATTTAGTGATCTTCCTTGCTTGTTATGATTTCCCAAGCAAAACAAAGTGTTAAACAAAAGACAGCTATTGGTGTAGAACAGAACTACTCACTCATTAAGTACTAACTAGTTAATACATAACCCCAGAGAGGTTAAATAAAGGTGCAATGCAATTTAAGTGAAAAGATCACATGCTTGCTCATTAAGTAGAAGAGGGTACATAGAAAACACTTTTGCTATTTTACATATATAAGCATTCTTTTGCTTAAGAAATAGTAATGCAGCAATGCATCCTACAGAAGAGTTTGAGCCACATAGCCTAGACAGATGTTCTCTTCTGTTTCCAGCACAACGTGGAAGTTCACATTTGGATGCACTTGTGGGCACCGTCACAGGTCATGCTGGGCTGCGTAGATGGACAGATTGATTGTGCTGAAAGACGGACAGAGCAAGCTCTGCCTCCTGACAGCACAGTGCCACTCCTCACTGGGAGGAGTGTAAAGGAAGAGAAAATAAATTTGACTTGGGAATCTAGCTTTGGCCTCTGCTACCAGGGCAGAAGCAACCGTACATAATAAGGAGCAGAAAACTTAAGTCAGAGACTGTTTTTAGAAAGAGCAACCATTATTTCTCCATAGGTTCATACATAATGTAGCAGAGTTGGGGGGGGAGAGGACAGAAGACATTCATCTAAGTGTCTCTAAAATGTGAAAATAATACTAAGAGGGAGGAATGAAACTGTGGAGGTCTGAAAAGCCAACTGTTACAAAGACATTATTTATTTACAAAGCAAACAGCACACAAACTCGCTCGCTTTTGCTGCTCTAGGCATCTGTTATTTGTTATTTTAAAAATAATGTATTTCAGACATTTTAAACACGTTCACAAACAAGCTGGGTAGTACACTGTTTATGTCTCTGTGCCTCTCCCCAAGGAGAGTTGCTGACTTCCTTGCCAAAGCAAACAATATAACATTTATGAAGGTCAAATAACAGAAAGGAAGCTATGTTCATTAAAGGGACACTATCAAATAAAAAATTGGAATTTAAATGGGGCTGAGCTGTTGGTCCATATGTTTAAACAAAACCAACATAAATGCATTTCTGTGTGACAAGCAACTTTCAATAAAATTTAGTTAAATCAGAAAGGTAATATGCACAAATTCTAATAATTTATACCCATGTAATTTTGAGAATAATATTAAATTTTCTCTTTCAGGGCTTAAAACAGTCCCTCTGGTGAGTGGGGTCACCTGATGTATAAGAAAGAACTTCCAATCTGCTCATTGGGAGTATTTTGCATGATTTCTGTAATTTTGTTGGTTCCACCTTTTCTGTTTACTCAACTTAGATAACAATACCTTCTACAGAGTTAAATTTTCATTTATAGTGAAGCCTGTGTACCTTTTCACCAAACTGAACAACAATTATGTGACGAAACTCCCTGTCTTTTGTGATATAATGTTCCAGCAGTCACAGCTCATGATCATTATTAGACAATATAAAGAATTACAAATTTGAATAAATTCTGTATAAGAAAGAACAAGTATTTCAAACAACATTGATATCCTGTTTCCAATATGAATTAAAAAAAACCAAAACAAACAAACTCAGTCCCATGTTCTGTCATGTTTACTGGCAATTCAATGGTTTTTGCAAGAGAATTAGCCTCCATTTAAACTTGCAAGAATTCTTGCCTCATCTAAATCCTACAAGAAGGCTGCCTTGGAAGCTCATTGTAAAAAACAACTCCCAATTTCCAATCAAAAAAGTATTTGTGGTTTATCTGTATCCTTTGGCTCTTGTGCTATCATCAGCTTTTGTCTTAAATAGTTATTTCATGTTGTCCAAAACCAGTAATTCTTGTCAGCAACCACACACCTCTCAGCCTTCACTCTGCCAGGTTAAAATGAGCTCTAGTTGCCTCCTTTCACAAGGAGATGCTCTGTTCCCTCCAGTGCTGAAGTAATGCCTCTCCACGCTTCTTAAAAGATAAATTAAACTTTTTTGAATGGAGCTAAAAGAGCATTAAAAAACGTACTACACAGCAGAAGTTACCATTGCTTTTTAAAATGGCACTGACAGTTTTCTTTATTGAGTGGAAATATCTAGTTTTGTGCATTCTAGAACTTCATTGCCTCTTTCAGGGTAGCGTCAACTGCCGAACTGACTAATACATCAAGCCTTTTCTGCTATATCCTCATTTTCCACTGAGGAACTTCCATTTTACAGCATACAGCTTTAGGTAAATGAAGCTGCATATTGTGCTACTGAATCACAATTTATTCCTACTAATTTCCTCTCCCTTGTCATCCCAGATTTTTGTCTATGCCACCCCAATTTTCCTCTGGGTTGCCTATATCTCACTTCTTAGTATCACTAACATGCTACTACTTTCTATGCCAGTACCATTTATGAAAATTATAAGTAAGCACAGTCCCAGGACCAGACCTTTAGGAATGCATTAGTAACTTCCCTCTAATCCAATACTTTCCCTGAAATTGTCAGCAATTTTCCTGAAATCTTCAGTTCTCCTTCAACTATCTTTTTAGCCGCCACAAAATTCTTACTTTATTCTCCATCTTTTCTAGGACTACTACTGATAGAAATTTCATACATGGCACCGTATCACATCCTTTATTCAAGTTCAGATAGATGAAAAGTCTGCTATCCCTTCTTTGCATAGACAATCCATCCTATTGAAAGGATGCTACATTAGCCTGTGATACTGGCATTTTGCATTTCACCCCATTTTCCCTTTGGCTTTGTGATAAGTGGTAGAACATTTATTTTTGAGAATCTGTAATGGAAAATGAGTAATTATTTTTAAAAATTTCCACCATGAAATGAAAATCTCAATAGAGAAAGTTCTTTTTTTCTTACATTTGATCTGTTTAAGGAGATTTTACCAACATTTAAAATTTTATTTTGATTTGGTCTGGTAATACCAGGCCAAATGTGATATTATCAGTTTTGAGGAACAATCAAGTCACTCACAGAAATCTAAAAGCCATAAACATTATTCCTCCTAGTAATTATTTTTGTTTTGTAAATACCTTTCACTTTCAGCAGTTTGCATCGTTTCCAGCTTTGAGTGAGCTCCTCTGTTAAATCCTTTCACCTCTTGCTCCTCTAAAGATTCCAGAAGTCTAATCACATCTTTATTCACACCCCTTCGTTTTGCAAGAACAAGTGGTGTTGCACCTTGGTGATTGCTAAAATAACCCCACAAAAGGACATGAGAAGAAAGGAAACTTTTAATACAGACATTTTGTAACAAGACAACTCAGCATAACACATTACATTTTAGTAAGTCCTCAGAACCATTTTCTGTCATATCAGACAGTAAGAAATTCCTATCAATACAAGTTATGGCATAACTGACTATAGAAGAAAATCAGTATACTTAGGTTTGAAATTGCACAACTCTTTTTCCTTTAAATAAAAATCAAAATTCCTAGTACTAATCTAGTACTGGGTGCTATAACAAAAAAACCCCAGTAGATTTATGGCAATGTTCACAATTAAGCTTAATTTCAAGAAGGAATTGTGCAATCTGGTTCCTCATAGTTCCTTTTTCCATGTGGGTATTAGGACGTGAGGCAAAAATGAAATAAAATACAGATGGTCCCTCTGCTACTATTAAAATAATACTGAATAGGACCAGAGCTGCCTTCAATACTAGGAATTTGCACCAGAGTTGTTTGAAATAAGAAAAAAAAAACAAAACACCCACAACCCATAGAGAATCTGGTCTGCCAGTAACTAGTTTTGCTGAGTTGAAAACTTTAATGAGGGACAGGTGAAAAAGGGGCAGATTTAAAAACTCAAAGGTTTTGAAGTTACTACCAGTTTTTGCATGCGTTGTGATTATGCAAAGTTCCACAAACAAAATAATTCAGTTACTGCAGTGAAACAGCTAGTTACTTTGCAGCTTGAGAGCTTGCATCTGAGCACTGGCATCTGACAGCTGCTAGAAGCCAGAAGGAAAGAATATACAATATTTAAAAGAAGGACTGAGTCACAGACTTTGAGGGAGGGGGAGAACACTGAAAGGGAAGCATTGTTACCAAAGGAGTACGGGAATGAACTGACACACACACATACTGTATTTTCTTTGTCTTCTACAGTACAACAATTAAACCAATAGAACTGTGGTGGAGAAAATTCTTTTAAAGTAGTCAGTGTGATTTTTTTCTTTGGTGTCAACCACCCACACCTGGCTGTCTGGCCAAACCAGGATAGCAATGTCATCAGTGAGGCAGAATTAGACACAGCAGCCCACACCAGCAGCTGCTATTTTTATTTGCTTTGCTTGTTGCACAGACTAGCAGAAGTGGCCTCTTATTGTTTTCCTGCCTTTTATTTTGTGTTTTTATTAAGTGATATCTTAAAATAGTGGAATTCCACCAAATTTCAGCAACAGCAGATTCATATGCAAGGCTCTGGTGACAGCAGACTAATATATTTTATAATATGTGCTGCAAAAAACCAACAGTGACTTACCAAATATCAATTTTAAGTCCATTAGAAACTAGGAACTGGATGGTATCCACATGCCCACACAGATGAAGGGCCGTGTTACCTTGGTAATCAGTGGCTAGTAAGTCAGCACCAAACTTATGCAAGAGTTGACAGATGTCTACATTTCCTCTGGCTGCAGCAAGGTGAAGGCCTGTTCGGCCTCGGCTGTCACGAATATTTGGGTCGAAACCGCTCTCTAACAGTCGTTTGGAATAGTTAAAATCTCCATCAATGCAAGCCTGCAGCAATGGCACATTTGTCTGGGAAGAGTCGTTTACAAAAACGTAGGACATTGTTCTGATTCTCTCTGGAGTAGGTGACTAACCTGCAAGCAAAAGTTGGAAGAAATTATGGTGAAACCAGGCAAATAAATACAATGCAAATATTTGGTAGACTGCTCAGGTTTCCAAACAAGAATGCAAACTAGCTTATAAACCACCTCTGAAATCTTCCTGTTGTATATATTAACTTCGTGTGCTGCATTCCCTCCTGGTAATATGGAAAGAGCTCCTTTTAGTCTTACTCACACTTCTGGAAACAGCAGCAAAGCTTTGTTATTACAGAAAACTGATTAAGATCAATGCCACAAATGCAAGACAGGTGATTAGCTTTCACCTAGTAAGAGATCACACAGTACTATTGATATTAAAGGCCAAAACACTGTAGATCAGAACTGAAAGGGAGAACAACCACCATTCATAAACCAGGAAACCATAAACAATTCAGTTAACAGATACAGTGACGCTAACTGCAACTCTTACTAGCTATAAGCAAAGCTACTCCAGTGGGATTTCCACCATCTGAATTTGAATTTTGATGCACAAAGTACAGTCAGTTGCTGAAAATGCTTCATCACTATAAATACTAATTCTTCATTCTGCAGGAAATATATTTTTCAATACTCTTTGCACAACATTATAGTGCCACAGATACACAAACTACTGAACAAACAAGAATAGCAATACAGACCATAGAAAACTGAGTGTATTACATGAAATTGCCCACCTGAAAGTGAAAACTGGAAGCGGATACAAGGAGGACAATGGTAAAATCAAGTATGGAGCTATTGTGGGTTCAACTAGAACCCCAATATGGAGAAGCACAAATGTAGTTTCTCTGGCTTAATATTAAATAAAGGATTAAGTCCTTTTCTGTATCAGAATCTAAAAGAGGAAGAGAAATGTTGTTTCACCATGGATTTCTTGATACAGAATATTTCATGAACTATGATTTAAGTTTTGAAGAATATTTTCAGGATGAGTCAAATAATGAGGGTATGATGAAATTGTGCTTATGGGACACAGAAAAGATGAAAACAATAATGAAAAAAGAGAATGACTATGCAAGAGGATGGCAAAATGTGCAAGATGCAATGGTAAGAAGAAATGAAAACATCTAGAAGATTGGACAGCAAAGATCTGCACTCCCTCAGAGAAGAGGTGAAAAAAAAAAAGAATCATATAAATCATATAAACCAGTAAAAATCCTGAGAAGAAACCTCAATACAGACATGACACAGTTAAAGTGACAGGAAAGAAAACTGATTTTACTAGATAACCTTTGAATTGAAACTGAACTGAAACTTCACTTGAATATTTCACTTGCCCAGGGTTTGTACTTTGGGCTCACAATGTAGCAGTGTTCTGATTAACTATATGAACCTCCTGTTAAAAGTGCTATATGCAGATGTAAATTTTCTCATCTATATAAGGTATCCTTCCACACCAGTGCACTCATTCAGCCAGGAGAATGGAAACATGGCCAGTAGCCAAAGAATTCGATTTAAAACCTGTCCTTTTTTCAAGAGTTTATAATGTCTATATTTTATAGCTCTTCCCCCATGTTTTAGATCAAATTCAAGATCAAAGTACCTACAGAAGTAATTTCAAAATGTTTACACACTGGTCTGATTAACAGCTGTAGCATTTGGGGATGTTCAGGTTAATAAATCATATTTAAACTTCAGTAGGTTGTATTTCCTATCTGGACAAATTCTGCTATATGTATCAACACTGTCTAGTTTCCCAGTGCAGGAATGCACAACTCTTTTTTCTTTCTTGGATGCAGAGGAGAAAGAGATCGGAGTAACTTCCACGTCCTGGTATCTCTATAAGGAATGATTTTAAGCAGAATACATTCCCCTAGGCTGCAAGTATGTTTTTAAGCACGTGATGATATATCACTGGCTCAAGCATCCTTTTCCACAGTCATCCCCAATAGCAAAAGGTCAATTCACTGACGTACCATAAAACATTTCATGCAAGACTGGTGTCATTTAGGGTACTAACAGCCTTCTTATAATCCTACACAAAAAGAAAGGACAATGTACTCACTCGTGTTTCCAGTGATTATGTTACAAAACCCCTGGATGTTGCCAAGCTAAGATTCCCAGCTGACAGCAATTTCAATTTTCTTAACCATTTCCCACCCAAATCATAAATGATATGAGAATTCTTCTTCAACTCTGCTAGTCCAATCTTTGCTGAGAAAAATATTGGGCCCCGCTTCTGTATGATGTGATTGTGACCTTTACAGTCCACGTTAAATCTTCCCGAAACCGAGATCATAAATCATTTTAAAACCTCCAATTATCATACATAGTAACTGCATATCAACAGCACAAATCCCTACTTGTACTTGATAAAAAGATCACGGTTCACTTGTAAAATAATATTTGAGTGTTTAAAACTGTTTAATAAAACAAGGCCTAACATAAATCAACAACAGAATATTATACTGGAAGAGACATATGCTATTTGAGGAACGGCATGGCATGCTCTGTAAAATGTAAGCTAATGTTTATATTTTCATACCAGACATGTACATCTGATAAAGCCTAACAGAATTCCCCATCACTTCACATATAACTCTGATGAAACATTAGCTAATAATACTAGAAAAAAAAAAGTTACCGCCTTATCTTTTCAGGAAAGGAAGCACAAAGATTAGCAGTTATCAGAAAGTGTAACTGGAGGTAATTCCAATTCAGAATTTGTTATCACTAGAACCTTTTAGAATTGATCGCTGAAATGTAGAAGACTTAAGTGAAACTAGTATTTCACAGGAAGAAAGACCAACAAATCCTTCTTCCCAATGCTTGAAGATTGTGGACTAAGCAAATGCATTCACACACACACAAAAAATCTGGACCATCTGGTTTGATTTATCTTTGTGATTAAAAAGATTTTTTCTACAAACACAATTCTATTTCACATATGGCTACCTAACCTATGCCAGACACAAGCTGCATGCAAAGCTGAACTATACACCACCTCTAAAATGCCAGTCCCCAAATGATACGTTCTTCCCTCAAATTTAACCTAATTTAGCAAAATTTCCTGTCTAACAAAACTCGGAAAAAAACTACAATAGCCAACTTAATTAAGTGTTTTTGAATAAACAAACTGTGGTTACATTTCTGTTCACAGTATGTATCAAAAAGCTTATTGATGTAATGAATATCTAATGCAGTGGATTTAGCAACAAAATTCCAAAGCATTAGGCATTCTTTTTAAATCGCTTCTGAAAGGTGAATCAGATAACAACTCTGAACCTGCCTAAAAGCTGGTACGCCTACCATTAAGCACTAATGTCACAGGCACAAATTGGGACAAACAGACTTGCATTAGTAACAAGACACAAAAGTATTGCAAAATGAGCGTTCTGAATATCCCTATAAATTACTACTACTACTACTGGAGTTAAATATATTTAATTTGGTTCAGTAAATGACCACTTCTAAAAATGCATCACTATCTACTGAAAATGTATCTTTTAAATGATACTTCTGTTAAAAAAAAAAAAAGTTTTGCTGTTAATAACTTGGTACTTTGAGAGAAAATGAGTTTTGTGGAAAGTAAATTCAAAGATGTCCTCCCAAGTGAGAAGGATTCCCATTAGAAAGGCATAATATAAGAATACATTTCACTAAATTTATACAACACAGATATAGCCTGAGCACAATGTACTTTTATTAATAATTTTAGAAATTATGCTGTAAGCCACTTCTTCTATGACATATGTGGGCTAGTACAGGATAGGAAATCTAACTAAACTGTTCTGTTTTCAAAAGGATTGCTTATATTAAGTGAATCTGTAAGAATAATTTACTTCTATTTATTAAGTCATTTTTCTCCCACTGTACAATGGTAACTCAGTGTCACATGCTGATCTGTTGTACAACACATTCACACCTGCAGAAGCCAGGAGTGATCTTCAGTAATTCAAATCGTAGAGCTAGATGCAAGTCCTGTCACTTCTTAAACTAGTCCTAAATTTGCACTAATTGTGGACAGTTTTATTTTGCAGTAAATATATGCTATTGTCTCTGCCTTCTCAGTAAGTTCAACAGCTACCAAATAGCTCCAGAAAAAGAAAATGGCTAGATTGTGAGACAGAATCACTAACTGTACCTGCCTCTCCACTGCAAAAATATTAATGAACCTTACAACTTGTAATTAACCACCCAGTCACCGCTACATAGGTTATACCAGTTCTGCAAAATGACAATATTTCCACGAACATTCAGAAAAACTGAAGTAATTGTCCTTATTTTAAAACAACACATCAGGACAACAGAACTATATCAGAGCTCAGTACTTGGGACTTCTCAATATTAATACACACTTTGACATCTAGAACCTAAGCGTCAGTAAGACTACCACTAGAGAAACTGCCACCACCAAGAAACAGAAACGAAAACAAAACCAAGAAAAATTAACATCCCCAACCCTGTGCCAGCAAAACACACAATATGCATTACTTCTAAAATCTACATTTGCCAACTCCCCTCGTGGCGAACAGCTTCCTCTTTCTGTAATGGACTTTGAGAGTACTTCAGTGGCAGTGGCTTGCAGAGCTCTTCCTTTTCAGTCTTTAAATGAATGAAAAACATTCCAGTACTTTGCTTAAATGTAAGCCCATGATCTCTGAAGGCAAAGTTTCCTGGTCAAATGGGATCGTTCCCTTAAAAACACTATGTGAAGATAAGCTCTTTTTGGATATACAAGATAATTTTTTTTTAAAAGGTGTAATTTAATAATTAAAAAAACCAAATCAAAACCACATTACCTTGCTTGTGTATCCTCTGAACACTGATCAGATGTTGAAATGTAAATCCAACAATATCATTCTCTTCCCTTTCTAGGTAGGTTGAGGGTGAAATTCCTCAGTAAGTTTTTATGCACACCTGTATTTATGTGTAACTTATTAAGAAGTCATTTAACTGAATAAATGTTCTATTTAGTAAAAAATCATATGATCAACTGTCATTTCTGTTTAGGAAAGAACCCCATTATTTACACCAAGTTCCACTGAGAGCTCTGTATCTTCTATTAAAAACCTTCACCTATTCAGTCCAACCGGAACAGAGGTTTATTGCTCCACTAATATAGACCTGCTGCTAAAAGCAGCATCTCAGATTCATACAGCATGATGTCTGTCTTACACACAGCTGTATTTTTGCAGCATTTTCCCTTCCTAACTTCAGTTATTTTTTCAACAGTTCCTGGATTCAAGGTATCACAGCAGGTTCATAAGAGCCACCTCTCCTTTCATGACTCTAGACAGACACACAGGTAAGTGGTTATACAAGAACATTATTTATGCTATTTGTTTTCAGTAATTTGCATTGCCTTCTGCAGACATGAGACATACAGGTGTATTCTCTTGATGTCAGGACCATCCTGCAAGTAGAAACTTCAGTGCATTGCACATACATAGGGCTTTGCACATATAGGCTACAAAGTGCTTTATGAAAAAATTAGAATAACGATTGCTGCTCTTTTATGGATCAGCAGACAATGGCATTGGGAAACAGGTAGCTTTGCTCATCATTGTACAGTATGGCAACATTACAAGATAAAAAAGAAATAAGATCTCAAATGCCAATCCAGGGTTGCAGAATGCCTCCCCAGATCATATAGTACATGCGTTGTGTATTTATGTACACAAAATAAGGGAACAACTGGAAAGAGATCATTCTTTTAAAACACCTTTACTGACAACCAGATTCACAAACATTTTATCCTTGCTACACTTAACTGGTAATTCAGTTGCATTACATGTTTCAGTGCACTTAACTTCTATCAAATACACATCTAAGTATTTTTGAGCCTTGCTCATTTTTCACCTTCTGCAAAAGAACTATTTAAGAAGAAAGGCAATTTACAGATTTCATCAGGTCATCTGTTAACTCCCTATAACTGGCTCAGGTAAATCAGTAAATAACTGCAGCACTTCCCTGACTGTTGTGGTCAGTTTGAATACATCTGCTTTTAGAGAAAGTTATGGAAGCACTTATATTGGTCATAATTATCAACCTCTTCACAAACCTTTATTCAACTTCTTTGTTTCTGCTGGGAACATGTAGGGTGCTAATGTACGTTGGTCAAGAAAATACCAAAGGTCATCCCATATTGTTTTGTTGTGGGTTTATTTGTTTGTTTTTTAACAGACTAGAGAGAATTCTTCTGCTCCTAATGAAGTGTTTGTGTTTAAATTTGCTGCAGACCTTGACACAGTCTTCTGGAAAAGAAGGGCACAGTAACTGAGCAGCAAGGGATCTTCAGGAGGCGGCCGGCCGCAAGCTGCTGAGGCGGACACAGCACTCGTGTCTGGATGAAGATTGCCACCACGTGGACTGACAAATTCCTGTCCGACTCACGTAGATGATGGTGTGGTGGGTAACCCTGTGCTCACACAGACCACTTTTCCTACATTTTGTGGTGTTTCCTATTTTCCTGAGAAGGAAATGATGGAAGGCCTGAAAATGAGATTTTATAAAACTTGATAAAAAAGAATTCTGAAGTCCAAACTGCTATTCCCTTGTGGTATAAACAGCAATCTCGTTCAAGCTCTGATCCTGTATTAGTGAAATGAGGACTTCGGTATGTGGCTTTAGTTCTGAAGACAAAGGTATTTTCTTTAAAAAAGTAGGCATCTATGCCTGTTTCTTAAAAAAACCCCAAAAACTAAAACCAGAACACCACACACACCCTCACACACAAAAAGCCCCATCCTTACCTAGACAAACAATAAGTCTGAGATGACAAGTTTACTAGAATGGGAAAAACTTTATGTGTCCAGCAGGAATCATCAGACATCAGAGCTTAGTCAGCTTTATTCCAGCAATAAAGCAAACTAAGAACCAGGAACCTATCACTAAACTGCTTATTATCATGCAGTCCATATTTTCTTACTTTCTTACAATATATATGATAGCTTATACACTCTTAGTCATACATAGCCTTGATGACACTGCCTCAGTAATGTATACAACATCAAATCCAGTTTAATGGCTACTGAACAGAAGCAGGTCACTTTAAAAAGCAGACATTTCCTAAATTTGTAAGTCATTTATATATAACCATGTTTGACTTTACCTTTAAAATAATATATTGCTCTGCTTGTTCATTAGAGTTTATTATTTTATATCAACAAATAATACCAATTATAAGATAACTAATGCTGTCAGACACACGACTCTTACTACCACTGCCGGATACAAGTATTTCTGCTCAGAATTTTCATGTTCACACACAGTAAATCATTAAACCAGTTCATCAAAGCCAAATAGTTAACTGATACATTTACTTCTTTTAAATATTCTAAATCTCTGTCAATACGGCATGACTTTAAATACTTAATCATACCATGTTGGATCATGTTACATGACATGGTAAGATGAAACGGTACAACTATTAAGGTTGTATTTCTAATTAATATACATATATTGATGCTATTTTTCATCAATAGTTACTTCACCATGCTTAGGCTCAAAAAATTTCCCCATGTAGGCAAACCTGTAGTACTAGTCTCTGCCCAACACTGTGTCTTAAGGGACTGAAGGGGGTAAATCAGCAGTCTACAGGTTCCAAGGACAACTGGCAAGTCTAAGGAGAATCATGGAGGCCTGCCTTAAGCTCCTGATGTGCACGGAGGCTGCAATTGACCAAAAATGTAATGAAAGATGACTGGAAAGATGTGAAATAGATTTCAAACTGTAACTATTGAACCTGAGAATGAAGTAGCTCAACTAATGTTTACCAATTGCGTCAATGGATCCTGCTGAGCCTAGAAATAAAAGACATCACTCGTACAGGGAAAACGTCTGCCTTTAGATAACTTCCTAAATGCTAGTAACTTATCAGTAAAAGACCCAATTGTCAACATGAAAGCTGATGTCCCGGCAACGAACAGCAATACTCACGTTTCTTTAAAAAGGTTTGACAGGGAGTACTCAGTTCTATTTGAGAAATGATGAAGAGAAACCTTACAGAAGAAAGTCCATGTTGATTATTACTCTTGTGAATAAGAAGCTAACATAAAAGTAGCCATAGCAAATCACAGCAAAGGTCCATTGAAGTCTAGTATCTTTTTTTCAAATGGTGGCCAAAAGCAAAGGCCAGGGAAAAAAGTAGAATAGGGCAAGAATATATAATACTGCTTTTTCCATTAAAAAAAAAAAAAATCTCTCTCAGATGGATGGGGTTCCTATGTATTTAGCATCACACAGTGCCCCCCCCATGAATCTGCCCGTTCTGCTTTTCAACACATACACTTTTAATATCCACAATGTACTCTGGTAAGTTCTCCAACTCAATTACCTGTGAAGAACCACATCTTTTCATTTTGCTGAATCAGGGCCTTGTTAGCTTCACTTGTGGACCCCCAGCTCTCCTGCTGGAAGAATGGACAGTCAAGCCCTGCCCATTCTTTTCATACCACTCATGATTCTACAGGCCTTCATCATATCCTCCTCAGACATCCCTTTCCAGGATGAATTTCAGAGTACCAGCTTTCTTGACCATTCCCCATATGGAAGGCGGTCTGTGTCTTTGACCAGTCTTGTTTTGCTTCTCCAAATCTCACTCATTTTCACTATATGCTTTCTGAGCTGGGACACAGAGTAGGGGAACCACACAGGGTGTTTGAGGTGAACCATGGATTAACACAGTGGCATGGCAAGATTCTTTGGTTTGATCTTTACTTGTTTCCCAATAGTATTTACTCTCCGATTTACCTTTTTGACTGCTGCTGAGCACTGTGGTTACATTTTCATGGAACCATTCACCATAACTACAAAATACTGCTCATTACCGAGAGCCCAGTATTTCACATGGGAAGTCAGGATTCTTTTTACGCTACCTGAATGACTCTACCTACACCAAATTCACGTGCCATTACATTGTATTACCCAGTTACTCAGTCTTACAGGGTCCTTCTGCAGCTTTTCACAGTTGACCTTATCTTTACTACCCATGTCGTTGGCAAACACTATCACCTTGTTGCTCACTGCCTCTTCTAGGCTGCTCATGGAAATGCTAACACTTCAGCATCCAGAACCGAACCCTGCAGAACTAAAATTCTTCCACCAGAAAGACTGATCCTAAGTTCACAAAAACTGCTGTCCTGGATCGGATTGATCCAGCTCGCCCAGCACTCTGCTGTCAAGGGTGGCAATCAGAGATCCTTCTTTGAGAGAGCACATGAGCCTGGCTGCTTTCTGCAGCCCATTCCCCCAACACACCCCAGCAGCCACTACTGTTACATCAGGGACCTCCCTGGCTAGACCTTTTAGAAAACAGCCCCTCAACGGACCTCTTGTCCATGAGTTTTCCTAATCCCTTCCTGAACCTGCCCGCACTCTCTTCCCTCCACAGCTCCCCCCGTCACCCCCACTGAAGTCCTTCCCTATACCCATCTGAAACCGCCCTCCCACCAGCCCCAGCAAGAAGCCCCCACTCCAGTGCCGCAAGGCTGGACAAATAACTCCCACCTCATCCACCGCCTTCATTTTGTAAGTCTTGATCACGCCCCAGACATCTCCTCTCTAATGTGAACAATCCTGACTTTCCAATCTTTCCTCTTAAGGAAGCCGATCCCCTTGGCCCTTTCGGTTGCCCTTCACTAACCCGCTGTGTCCTTCTTCAGATGCAGAGACCAGAACCACACACACTACCCCAGATGTGGGTGCACCAAGGTGCTGGAGCAGCAAAATGGTGCCCTCTGTCGTCTTCTCAGCAGCCTCCCTGAGGACGCTCCCCATTCTCCTGGCTTTCTGGCTGCCACCGCACACTGAGCTGAGGTTTTCAGGGAACAGTCAATGGTGACACCAAGAGCTTTTTCTTGAGTGGTGGCTGCCAGTTGTGAGTTCAGCACCGTGCAAGCATGGTTTAGATTATTCTACCCAAGACATCATCTTACCTTTGTGTATGCTGAAGCTCATGTGCCATCTTTCTGCCCCCTTCCTTTTTTCTGGCAATTTATTTTTGACCTCTTTTTAATTTTTCAACTCAACTAATTCTGCATTTAAGAAATTTCTTTTATGCTATAAGCACCCAGTCTCCTCAAAAGTTTCTGGTAGGCTACTTTTTTTTATTGCTTCCTGAAAATCCAAGTAGACTCTATAAATCACATTACCTGCATCTACAATCCTACTCAGTAAACTTTAGTAAAAGCTGACAAGCCTTGAGATGCAGCAAACCTCTAAAAAGGTATCCAAACTCAGGCAGAAGCAGTCCCTAGCATACTAACACACACCAAGGACAGGCGTATGCTTCTCTGCACAAAAAACGTCAAGGTGAAGAAGACAGACAAGCATTCTATACCATCCACGGGAAACCCACACACCATAAGCGTTCCCCGAAATGTGCTGCTGCCCTTTTTCTGTCACCATCCATTATTGCTGGTCTGACACTGTAAGAGGTTTTGAGCATGCTGGAGACTATAACCCCATCAACAATCACTAAAAGATCTATGCCTTTATACTATAAAATTCAGCTGATGTAGCTAGATTACTTGGATGTGAGAAATTTGCTGAGTGACAAAACTGGTGTTTAAGCAGCTCTGTTCCATTTAGTCAATTGAAAATTTATCAATAGAGTAAAAGAAAGAAATGCCACTTGGAAAAGTGGTGTTGATACATGAACTAAAGCCAGAATCTAAGATATGGCTTCAATGAGGTATTGTGTGAGATAAAACTTTTTGCCACATATTTAGTAAGTATCGGCTTTAAATAGTAAAGCAAACCACAACAAAACTGAACATTTCAGTATTTGTGCTCTTGACTTAGGTGACAGCAGAATCTCAGTAAACACCGGCGACTGAAATTTGGTGGAACAGGCCCATGTACTCAGGACAGGCCCATCAGCCTGTCATCTACAGCAACAACATGCTATGAATGGTCTCTAAAGAAAGCTGAATGCATCAGGGATCATGTGTTTCACATAATGTGTATAAAAAAATGCCCTCTGAAATATTTTATGTGCTTATTAACTGACCCATATGGAAGTGGAGCATCCACAACTGAGATGATGTGGAGGGCAATCAGCTGACAGACTGATCAAAAGAGAAACAGCCCTCAGAATTCCAGCATACCCAAATCCCTAGAAGAGCCACTAGTAGTTCACTCCTTGGATGACAAGTTATCTCAGGTCCTGGCCTGCAGATGAGGACTTCAAGACCACATGTATTCAGAAATTAACTGCACAAGAATATGAGGTGGGATAGTACAGTCAACTTAAGGCACCACTTCAAATCCCTCACTCTTGCTAATAAGGCAATTCTAAATGAAGGATACCAAAACTTGCTGAGGGAAACCTATCACTGAGTGCAGATCAGAACTGATTTTTATAGTCTCCTCTTGCACAGGCAAACTAACGTTCCTCTCGTAAGAAGAGAGCAGATGCACACACTACACTTCAGCCTTTGGCTCATCTCAACTTACTCTCCAATACCTTCTCTTCAAATAAAAAAGAGAGCAATTTGCCAGGGTCATTTTCTGATTGTCACCAATCCTATCATACTGCAAACATTACTATTTTTCTTCTAAAAAACACATTTAACAAGTTCTTGTTAATAATCTGTTTTACAAACAAAAAAGAAAAACAGATTTCAAGTCTACATATAACACTAAGCTTAGTTCCCTGCTGCAGCAAAAAAAAGCATGACTTCCTAGATGGAATGTGACTGGTTTGTAAAAGTGTCGGGCTTTTGCTCCTCCTTAACCTTTTGGAAGGTTGCTCCTGAACATCAGTGCTCTCTGATGGTTAGAAATTTTCATATACTATTAATCTTAAAATCTATGTTAAATTATTTGTGTATCAACATCATTCTTTAGCTCAATTTATTCCCTTCGCAGTGTTTACCTTGATGGTTCAACAGAAAGCAAAAAAGGCCTTTACTCTGCAAAACTAAGAAAGCCAAATGCTTCTTTCAACACTCTTAATTTCCCTACCTGTCCTAGGCACATCTTCCTGCATCTGTTCCACTTTACCTTTTCACCTGAGAATGATTAACATTATACACTTTGTACAATGAGGAGAGTTTTCACTTTCTAGAGCTTTCTCCTTCTAGAGTTTTGTTCGTGGATAATAGCAACAACTTCTTCTGGATCATCGTAAGTCAGCATTCATTTTTTCTACAATTACATATCGTGCAACTACCAAACACATATTTTGGTTTTGTGTTGCTTTCAACTGGTAAGAATTTCTTCTGTAAACTGCATGCTTACAAGCTTGCAACCGCAAACCCTTGTCCTTTAAATTATTATTGTACTAGTCATACTCTAGTTCTCAGGATCACCCAATTCTTTCTGTGTAGGACTGTAACCCTCTTCTATATTGCTAATGCCTTCCAACTCTTGATCACTACCAAATTAAAACAGCAAAGTATTAACTGCTACATCAAAATCTTTGCTAAATATTTAATAAGATTGGTCTCAAGACAGAACTAATTTTATAATCTTTTATACTCAGATTTGGTGCCTCTTCTTTTCAATATTACCCACCATAGTTTGTCTCTAGTTACTTCCCCATCCTCTTTACCATTCGGGTGTTACCCCTATCTTTTCAGCACAACAACTTGCTTTGCAGCAGCTGATCAAAACTTTAGCGTTGTCTAGAAAAGAGAACTACTCCGTTTCCCTCAAAAACAGCAATTCCTTTACCAAAGGCCGTTTTGAGGACAGGTTAAAAAAAGTTTTTCTGGCAAAAATACGTACTGCCTTTTAGTTTCACTCATCTTCGTTGTTTTCTCCTAAAAAGTATGGTCTGGAGCAGCCGGCCACAGCGGCTGCAGACTTGTTAACGTCCTGTCGGGGGGCAGCCGCTTTCCTCTCGCCGTTTCCCTCCCTTCCCGTGATAAAGGCTGGCAGCGCACTCGCCGTTCTCCCCTCGAACGTCTCCCCACCGAAGCAGCATCGGCTGCGCTCCACTTCGTCGGGTCTCGGGCCGGGCGCTGCCCAGGCCCCGCGTCGCTTTCGTCGCCGCTTGCGGTGCCTGTCACCGCCGGGCCCTCCCCCGTGCCGCCCTGCCCCCGGCTCCCGACCGCGGTGCCCTCCG